TGGGATGAGATGAACTTTAGGGTCTCTTCCATTGCCAACAATTCCATGCTTTTCTGGCACTGAGATGATGCCCTCTGCCTCCTCATCCTCATCTCCTGATGCTGTTCAAACTCCAGACCTGCAGTTTGTTGTGCAGGGGTGTTCCCCCATCCCATCAGGGAAGAAGGGGATCAAATCCCAGACCCGAGTTTTGGGATGCAGGGATGATCAAACCCCAGACTCATAGCTTGGGGCGCAGGGATGATCAAACCCCAGACTCATAGCTTGGGGTGCAGGGATGCTCCCCCATCCCACCAGGATCCAAACCCCTTCCCTAACCCAAGGTGCTGCAGGCAGAGCGGGACTTGGAACCAGCTCTGCAAGACTTGGAACCAGTTTTGCAAGGCTTAGGTAGGACCAGCTTTGCAGGGTTTAGGACCAGCCCTACAGGGACCCCAGCAGGCGCTCCTGGAAGCGCTCGGAGGCTCCGTTGCCAGCTCCGAGCCCAGCCCAGGCTCGCTGGAGGCTGGCAGAGCTGTTTCCACTCTCGGCTCTGATTCAGTCCCCGGGGAGCTGCAGGATAAACAACAACCTCGGCGCGGGCCAAATGATTGTTTAGGGCTGCTTTGTTTGCGGCTGACAGCTCGGCGGGGGCTCGGGGAACTCAGGAAGAGCCCCCAAAGGAGCCTCAGGGCAGCGGGAGAGAAGTGTGGGAGAGGAGGAGGAGGAGGAGCTGAGTTTGGAGCTGCAACTCAAAACTTGGAGATTTGCCTGGGTTAGCAGAGATTTAGGGGGTGGGGTTTCAAAGTTTGGTGAGGTTTGGGCAGATCCCCTCGAGGTGTGTTGGTGATGGGGTCACAGCACTTTAATGGGGTTTTTGGGAAGGGAGAGAGTGTGAAGGGGATTGTGCCTGTCCTGGGCAGGCTGGGACTGAGCCTGGCTGCAGAATCAGCCTGGAAGGTTCTGTGCCAGCTTCTCCAGCTCAGGCTCAGGGGTTTCTCAGAGCCTTCGGGCGCAGGGAAGGCTGGGCAGGGCGCAAGGGAGGGTGGGCAGGGCACAGGGAGCTGTCCCCTCATTGTGTCCCCAAATCGGACCTGGATGGTTCTGGCAGCTTCCCCAAGCCCTGCTGGGAAAACTCTGCTTGTTTTAAGGGATGAGAGACCTGCAGGAGATGGTGATAACCCCCAAACCCAGCGGGAATTCAGTGTCCGCTAACCTCCGAGGCGCCTCTTGCTGGGCGGGGCAGTGCCAAGTGCCAGCCCTGGCAATTAAGAGCCACGCGCCGCTGATTAATTAGCCGGCGGTGCCGGCTGCCAGCTCCAGCGGCGTTCTCAGCCTTTGGCCGAGCGCTGGGAGCGCTGCCCAGGGCAGAGGCTGCTGTGTTTGGGAGAGGGAAAAGCGGGGATGGAGAGCTCGGAGTGCCGGGCAGAGGGCAGCTCTGAGCTCCGGAGCGATCCCTGAGCACACCTCGGGTTTTGGGATCCCGGGGGAAGCAGGGCCAGCCTCACCCAGCCCACGCAGCGGGAATGGCAAGGGTTTGAAGGGACTGGGGCTGGAGAAGGTGGGATGTGAAAGAGGAAGGGCAGAGGGACAGACAGACGGATCTGATGCCAGCTGGGACGTCTGAACGCTAGCTGTCACTTTTTGTTCCTGTCTGGGACATGGAGTCTGGGGGTGGTGAAACTTTCGTCTGTCAGACATGGGCTCTGGCCTGGGATCCATCCCTCCTGGGATCCAAACCCTGTCCATCCTCCTGGGATCCAAATCCTGTCCATCCTTCCTGGCCCTGAGATCCAAACCCTGTCCATCCCTTCTAGGATCCAAACCTTGTTGATCTTCCTGGGATCCACACCCTGTCCATCCCTCCTGAGATCCAAACCCTGTCCATCCCTTCTAGGATCCAAACCCTGTTGATCCTTCCTGGCCTGGGATCCAAACCCTGTCCACCTTTCCTGGGATTCAAACCCTGTCCAACCCTCCTGGCATCCACACCCTGTCCATCCTCCAAGGGCACGGGAAGGGATGGGCTCAGCGGATGCCCCCAGAGCGGCTCCCTGAGGTGTGTGCCCTTCCCAGGTGCCAAGGAATATGTGTTCCCACGGAGGGAGAGGTTCCCAGTGTTCTTCCACCAGGAAAACACCTCCTCCATCTACGTCGGGGGCGAGGGCAGGCTCTACTACTACGACTTTGCCACGCGTGAGAACTACACGGTGAGGGGCGCCGCTAACGGGCTTGGAGCAAAACCCCATCAAAAGGGTCTGGGATCCATCTCCCAACCCACATTCCAGGCCTGGATGAGCCTGGTCTCTGCCCAGCCAGCTCCAACATGCCAGGAAGCATAATCCCAGCAGGAAAGAATGGTTGGGGTTAGGTTGGGGTTGGAGTTGGGGTTAGGGTTCAGTCTACCCTGTTGGCCATGGGCGGGTTCTTCCCTGAGTAGGTTCCCTCTGGGTTAGGGTTAGGTTTAGGATTAGAGTTAGGATTGGGATTAGTGTTAAATTTTCCGTGTTGTCCATGGGCAGGTTCTTCCCTGGGTGGGATCCCTCGGAAGTTCTCACTGTCCCACAGGGCAGATATTTCCAACCTGGGATCCTTTCTGGATCCATCATAGATATTTCCAGGGGGGATCCTTTCTGGATCCATCCTGGATGTTTCCATCCAGGGATCCTTTCTGGATCCATCCTGGATGTTTCCAGATGGGGATCCTTTCTGGATCCATCCTGGATGTTCCCATCCAGGGATCCTTTCTGGATCCATCCTGGATGTTTCCACAGTTTGGGTTAGCTTTAGGGCCAGGGTCAGGATTTGGGTTCGGGTTAAATCTTCCCTGTTGGCCGTAGATGAGTTCTTCCCTAAGTGTGATCCCTCCAGGTTCGTGTTAGGGTTAGGTTTAGGTTTAGGGTTAGGATTAGGGTTAAATCTCCCACATTGGCCATGGGTGGGTTCTTCCCTTGGTGGGATCCCTCTGAGGTCCTCTGTGCTGTGCAGGGGGGATGTTTCCAGCCAGGGATCCTTTCTGGATCCATCCTGGCTCTTTCCATGGGATCCTTTCTTGATCCATCCTGGATATTTCCAGCCAGGGATCCTTTCTGACTTGGGAGCAGCAATGCTCAGATTTCGTCACTGGCATCCAGCCTGGCCTTCATGCTGGATTTCAGGTGCCAGGGGTGGGGGACAAGGACACCTCGTGGGTTTTGGTGACCTTGTGGGACGCTGAGCCCATGCCTGGTGGCCTTGGGAGAGCAGGAATGGAAACGTTTCCCTCCCCTTTATCCTAGGAAGAGTTCCCGGTGAGAAATGAAGGCCAGTGCGTGTCCTCTGGGAATTTGGTAGGTCCCACCTGTGAGGGAGCAATGGGATGGGGAGGATTTGGGTTGAAGGAGGGAATAACAGGATGGGGAGGATTTGGGTTGAAGAGGGAATAATGGGACAGGGAGGATTTGGGTTGAAGAGGGAGTAATGGGATGGGGAGGATTTGGGTTGAAGGAATAACAGGATGGGGAGAATTTGAGTTGAACAGGGAACAGCAGGATGGGGAGGATTTGGGTTAAAGAAGGAATAACGGGATGGGGAGAATTTGGGTTGAAGAGGGAATAATGGGATGGGGAGAATTTGGGTTGAGGATGGAACAACGGGATGGGGAGGATTTGGGTTGAAGGAATAACGGGATGGAGATTATTTGGGTTGAAGGAGTAACAAGATGGGGAGAATTTGGTTGAAGAAGAGAAAAATGGGATGGGGAGGATTTGGGTTGAAGGAGGGAATAACAGGATGGGGAGGATTTGGGTTGAAGAGGGAACAGCGGGATGGGCAGGGCTGGAGTATTTGGTTGAAGGAACTGTGTGTGCTCCACATGAGCTCCCTCTGGATGAGGAGATCTGGGAAAACCCAGGGAGGGTCTGGGAATCCGTGAGGTGCTGGGGGCTCTGTGCCATGGCCAGGCTCCTCTCCCCTGCAGGAGGACAGCCGGAATTACCTGACCCTGGTGGAGCAGTACGGGGACGGGCTCCTGGTGTGCGGCACCGGCGCCTGCGCTCCCACCTGCTGGAACGTGGTACGGATCCTTCCCCCTTCCTGGATGGGGAAAACCCGGCCTGACCCCACTCAGGATCCCCTTCTGTCCTTCCCCAGACACAGAGGAAGGAGAGCCAGCCCTGGGATGGGAGAGGGATCGCTCCCTTCACCCCCGACTCCAACACCCTCGTCGTTGTCGATGGTAAGTGGGATATTTTCCCATTTTCCTGTTTTCCTGCGGTTTTGTTGACCCAAAGCCTCCCTGGGACAAACAGCAACCCCTGAGGCTGCTCTGAGGACTTTGTCCCCTTGGCTCTCCCCATTTTGTCCCCGTGGAAATGCACATCCCGTTGGGACAGAGGTTGGAGATTCCCACTGGGGCGTGGGATGGGGGCTCTGTGTGGGAGGAACGTTGGGATTCAGGAGTGCTTTGGGTCAGGAGGGACCTGGGAAGGACCTGAATCAGGAATGTTTTGGTTGGGGAGGGACCTCAGAAGGAGGGACCTGAATTGGGAATGTTTTGGGTTGGGAGGGACTTGAATCAGGAATGTTCTGGGTCAGGAATGTTTTGGGTCAAGAGGAACCTGGGAAGGAGGGACCTGAAACAGGAATGTTTTGGGTCAGGAGAGATCTTGGGAGGAGGGACCTGAAACAGGAATATTTTGAGTCAAAACGGACCTCAGAAGGAGGGACCTGAATTGGGAATGCTTTGGGTTGGGAGGAACCTGAATCAAGAATGCTTTGGGTCAAGAGGGACCTTGGGAGGAGGGACTTGAATCAGGAATGTTTTGGGTTGGGAGGGACCTGGGAAGGACCTGAATCAGGAATTTTGGGTCAAGAGGGACCTTTGGAGGAGGGACCTGAATTGGGAATGCTTTGGGTCAGGAGGGACCTTGAGACGAGGGACCTGAATCAAGAATGCTTTG